TATAGTTTTATATACATATATATATAGATAGAACTATTATTTCAACTGACAAAAAAACAATGATAAGTACTTTTTTATGATGCCTGTGCCACCCCTGGAAACCTCCTGGAAACGCCCCTGCTTTTTACTGGGATCCTTAGCGACCGGACTCCCTCCACCTCCAACCCTCCCCGCTGATGACGTCACGCTTTAAATATTCCCGTAGCTTCTTCACGCCGTCCTCGTCACCATCACCACCCACCCAGCAGATAGATCCTGTGACGGGTCAGCCGTACGTGTGTAGCCTGGAAACGTTTCTGTTGTCTGGAAGGCGCCGCTGCTCTGGTCCGCTTTGCTGTGCAGACCCTGGAGGGAAGAAAAAGGCGTCTTCGGGATTGAGTGCGCAAAAAAGGGGGGAGGCGGATAAGAGCTAAATCGGGCGTGGTAGCGGGGAAAACTCATCTTTGTGAGGAGAAACTTCAGAGCAGCAGCCACCATGTCGCTGTCGGTCCCGCAGAACGGAGTGAAGGCGGATAGCGAGCCCGTTATCGAGCTGTTTGTGAAGGTAAGACCGCAGGATAAGTTTTTCTCTTTCTCTCTCTCACTTGGCTGAACCCACATCTGCGCATTGTGCTCTCACGCGCTTTATTTCTGCCTCGAAAGCGAGTAATGTTAGAGATTTGCACAAATAGTGTCTCCACGCAGGACGGCTGTATCTTTGCCATTGTGGCCATGTGGAGCCTGCAGTGTCACCAGCAGGGCGGATACGGCCATCTCCCACCTCTCCACCCCTCAGCGTGGGTGAAGATCAGCCTGCCGTGCTGAAAACTGGGCGCTAATTCTGCAACAAAAGCCCGGCAGCTGTGCTTCACAAGAGTCCGCCCGACAGTGGGATACATGCTGCAGCTGCATTTTCGTGTTTGGGGCACTAAGTGGTAGATGGTATGAGAACTGACCCTGGTTCAGCTTTAAATAAGAGTGCAGGGTGTTTGATGTTTGCTTCACCAAAGCAACAAAGAGCCTGAAGGACAAACTGCTTCACCAGTTTCACACACAAAAGAAAGTGTGTGGCAGACAATGCTGTTGGTGCATTTTCATTAAAATTGTTTTAAGCGGGCAGTTGGGTAGCTTAATGGATGATCTCCTGCTCAGTGGAGACCCTGGTGGAGGTGGTGGCGGTGGATGCCTGTTTTTTTTTTTTCTTTCTTTGAGCCTGATGCTTCCCAGAGCGGGAAAATGGCACCAGGAAGAATAGAGGGAGAAGCACACTGGGACTGAAGGGGGCTGGGGTAGTGGGAGGAGGCTGTGGGGTAGTGAATTAGGTGGTGTTGGTACGTTAGGGTGTCACTGACCAAAACGGCAGGCTCGTAACAATAACAGTGGATGATTGCGGCTTTGAAAACACGATACATGCTACATATGAGAGCAATTACCCTCAATAAGCCCAATTTATAAAGGGATCCCCATCTACGAGAACCACCTCCATTAGATCATATCAGTTGGATGCAGTACAAACCCCACCTCCGTCCTGTTTGTGGTGTTTTTGTAGACTCTGAGTTTAAAGAGGAGGAAAACTACAGGAACAAACCGTCCAGTGCTGCTTCTGCTACTGCATTTCACTGCCTACAGGAGAGGTTACATCATCCCGAGGCCTGGAAGGTTTGCACTTGTGGCCGGCTCTTCCCTCCCAACCCCTCCCTTTCTAGCCCGCGCAGCCAGAAGTTTCTTCATTGTGTATCTTCTGGACACGTCTGCGTGGAAGTGTGCTAGCGTTTCCCTTCGCTCCCTCTCACGTGGCTCCGTGTTGCATGTACCAGAGTTTGACTTGTACACATCTATTATTCATGCAGCCGTTCTCACTGTGTTGCATTAAACACAGCCACGGGAGACAATGGCTGGCATGCAGGTTGCCATAGGCACATCGCTGTTAGCTGGGCCTCTGGGAACAGCTGATAACAAAGTGTGTGTGTGTGTGTGCGCTCCACACACAGCTGTCAGATCTGTTAGGCCTCTGCCACATATCAAAGCTGACTAATTATGCTTCCATAACGTCAGTTGCCACAGTGTCCGTGTCTATAGATTGAGAGGCGTCGACACTGTTTACTCATTAAAAGCAGCTGGCTCACCCAGTTCAGAGACTGTTCGATTATCTTGCAGCTTTTTACCACCAGTGTTTATAGCAACAGTTGTCAAACTGCTATGGGAACACTTGCAGTGGGCTCGTCGAGGGCGGGGAGGCGAAGCTCGTGTTGTCTCTGTTTATTGCTCTGTCACATCAGCACAATGTGATGACTTTGTAAGTGGGAGGATCGACCCTTGACCTCATCACAGCGCAGCAGATTAGATATTGTTTTTGATCATGAGTAGCTGTTGGGCTGTGGAGGGTGACTTCCTAGCATCCACCCAACACATTAGAACTAAATGAGATGTTGTAATTAAATGGGAGAGTAAAGCCTGTATCTATCTTTTGTTTTTGTATTATTTATTTGAAATTGTTCCTCTTAATCACGACATCATCCAGACTTGGGAGCACATTAGACTGCTTTGATCTAAGCGCAGAGCATTGTCTGCTTTGTCTGCTACAAAGTGTCAAAATATGTCAAACAGGAATGTATGAACCTCTTTGAAGCTCCCCACTGCAGGCATCAGCTTTGGTAACCATGTCCAGTTTCTTTTGATGTTTTAGGTAATGGCGCTGTCTCCTGTCGGTCCCCTTTCCATGGTCACGCCAAATGTTGGGCTTTTCTGTGACTAAAACTAACCTCTGCTTAAATGTGATTGGTCAGTCGAGCTCGGGCTACAAATGTAACCTGAAAGATTCATGCTTGCAACCTCTAAATCATAGGTGTCAAACTCTGGCCCGCGGGCCAAATTTGGCCCGCAGCCTAATTACATTTGGCCCGCGAAGCCATACCAAATTACTATTAGAGCTGGCCTACTGGTATTATACAGCTAATATATATATTGTTTAGTATTAAGCTTTGCTTGTTCCATATTCAGTTTTTTAAGCAAAACTTGTTTGAGTCCATAAGAAAAGATTCATTCTTATATCTGGAGGAAGTTTTTTTTTTTTTTTCCAATAAATATTAATGTTAGCCCGCGACTTTGTTCCAGATTTGAATTTTGGCCCACTGTGTATCTAACTTTGACACCCCTGCTCTAAATCCTCACATTTAACACAATCGTTTTGCTCTTCAACGGTTCTCACATCATTTCCTCGCCAACTTCATCTCTGACGATCAGCTCTTCCACCCCGATGGCGTTCAGCTCCAACCCTTCTGCTGGTTTTGGGGGCTCTAACCTTCCAAATTCAACCTTCAGCCTCACTTCTCCATCAAGTCTTCTCATTGTCCAGAGAAGTTTAAAAAACACAACATTTAAGATCATAAGAGCAGCACGAGAAGCACACGAGAGACTCTAAGGAGCTTAGAAAGAAAAGTGTCTGGACTTCTTTAAGTTGCTTGAAGATGTTTCACAGACACATTCGACACAGAGAAACTTATTTCCACTCCGTACCAAGCTAAAGGCACAAGAGTGATGCAACCAAGGGTCAGCCCACAGACCAGTTGTTTGATTAAACGTTAGAAAATTAATCAGCCACATTTCCAAAAAGTGGAGGAAGCTTCCAGGTCTCCGGTTTCTTTCACCTGCATTTTACTTAATGGTCACGAATGAGCAGGAGCAATAACTTGTTGTGCCTACACTACCTGCCAGCATTGCAGCTATAATCCTATCTTCTGTTTATGGTTATTCCACATGTTTTTGGTGCTGCCACCTGGTGACAGGATGCAGCAACAACATGTAAATGCAAAGCTGTGCATAAGATGGGAGCACAGCCATGCTGGTCCTTTACATTCTTCATTGTTGGTTTTGTGTTCATAACTTGCACTCAAATTATTCTGTATGTTTTATTCAATTTTCCTTACGTGCATGCAAATGAGTCACTCTGCACCAGCATATGATCATGGGTGGATGACAGTGAGTGGAATATAGATGAGCCAAAGGAAACAAACAGCCTTTATCTCCACTCGCATTTGTGCGTCTGCTGGCTGAGACTGTGCCAGGGCCACACGACCGGTCGCAAAGCCTGACGCTGCTTCCAGCTCTCAGGCCAGCAGAGGTTGAAAACATGTCCAAGAAGTGCTTTTAGGTCTGGGTGGCAGACTGTTTACAATGGGAGCCGTGGAGATGACGGCCTACAAAGCCCAGAGAGGCGCTCACAGCTACGCGGCGCTCCTGTGCGGTCAAGGAGGCTAAAACGCCGTTAGCTCGGTCTGTAAAAGAGAACAATGACAGCTCGGGTTTAACTTCATCTTAACGCGCTGCACTCTGAGCTGTTTGCAGGCTTGGCCAAGATCGGCTCATCATGTTGTGCAATCAGTTGAAGCATGTGACGGTCAGATGCATGGCTCGTATACTGCGGCTCGTAACAATGCACTGCTCACCCAAAAGGTGTAACCATTAAAATGTCGGTAGTTTGAAAGGTTTAGTATCGCTACCCTTAGCACCGAGGTTCCATTTATTGTTTGTTTCTTTTCAGCATAAAATAAACCGTTCCTTCGTCCCTCGGGTGGTATTCTAGGGAGCTAAGTGCTGTTTCTTTATAGGAAAATCAATAGAGCGCTTTATTTTTTGTCAGTAACGCTGCAGTCAGCATCTTGAGTTAGAGGACAGAGATTAATGGCTTGTTAGTGGTGTGGAGCTTGCTGAGCTTGTGCTGCGTGTCCTCGTTTCTGCACCGTGGACTTGCTTTTGCAGCACCTGGCCTGTCACAACTTCTTCTGTGTAACTGTCTGGTTGACTGACTCTCTGGCCACTGGCCTAATTGATCTGGCAGTGTGTTATTACACCAATCTGAACTGGGGCTTTGGAACCACTCAGGAGTTAATTTATGTTCTTGCCAGTGGACTATAACATGTGCTTAAGCAGCACGGCCCTTGTTGTAGTGAAATAAATGGCTCTTATGTAAAAGATGTTCAAATTTAAAAGCTTGAGTCATCTCATTGAGGGGCGGAAGAGCTTCTGTGCTGTTCAGTCAGGAAGCCGATGGCTAATAATGCACTTTTCAAAGACAGGAAATGAGGTCAGTCCAGAGCAGCACGGATTGGAGAACTTAAGGAATGGATCCAATCACTGAGTCATGTGTTATACTATTATTGTTAAGGCTGTACCTGCTGTAGCTCCTCTATTACCTTTATTTTCAGAGGTTGTGTGTGTGTGAACCCTTAAACTACATGCACTACATCAGTACTGATTGGGATTACAGTCATTTCATGAAGGTGCATGGTTATTGCTGACTCGATGCTTTGCTTGTGGCAGACATTTATATATGTGGAAATGCTCAGTACTCATGCAAAGTCAGGCTTGTCCATGAGAGTTTTGCATGTTCGATTTTTATGACGGTGTAAAACAAAAACTGTCGATCATGCACCAGACAGGCACTGAAAAGCAGCTCGCCGGTGGGTCAGAGTGAATCCTGATGATGTGGCTGGTGTTTGTGTAGCCACGGTCTGAGCATCTGCTGCCATATGTGTATCTGACATGCGTGGTAATGGCACCCTAAGG